ACCTGACTATACAGTCGTGTGAAATCTGTCTCTTATACACATCTAGATGTGTATAAGAGACAGATATATATATACCGTACACGTGGATTGTCATGGTCAGTGTAGGTAGTATATCATGATCAATTTAAAATACGCCTGCAAAATGAATGTCGGGACATTTGTTTACACATGTATTTTTCATTTGTTAATATAAATTCGCCCAGGTGACTAGGGTAAAAGTGAGGATAAAACCCATTTATGGTAAAGGGCTACATATACGATTAATGAAAGCTCAAAGGAGAAGACAAAAAAGGTCTTGAGAAAGAGATTAAAAGATTGCTGGAAACAATCGTCCGACTGGGGATTCCAAAAAGATATGAGATGTAGGCCTACTTAGCAACGCGTTGTGACGTATTGTGCAGGCAGAAAACGCGTTTAGAAGAACTATCAGATATTATGGAGAACCTGACATTGTATTTTCAATTATTTATATTACAGGTTGTTCAGTTGTATATGGAGTGGAGTAATTTCTCTAAACCCGTCCCGCGTATCCAGCTAGTTGGATTTCAACGTGTCAAACTTAAAGTTAAGGAGAAATGCGTTGTCTTGTTTCCAGTAATACCAAATATGTATTCTGTTTACAGGGATTCCTGGTTGATCGAACCAGGATATTTGACATTATATGTTGGTGGCGGGCAACCAAACCAGAAGAATAATGGGATTTCAAATATTTTACAAGGGTATTTTATCATAAAGGGCAAATCAGTCCCTCTCAGTTCGTGTTTAACACGGTAATGGTGGTTAAGTTGACTGTATTTCTCGTTTTATATTTAAATGCAATTTTAATAATTCTTATATTTTGTACCGGTACTTTATAGGCAATAGAAACAAAATAAACTATTATATTATATATATTTTTAACTTTTTTTATGTACATAAGCATACATCTTTTTGTATATATAGACATATAAACATTATGAAGATTAACCATTGTAATAAACATAGGCCTAATAGTTCGGATTGGCGTGGACATATAAATAAGAAACAAAGGGTGTCAATTTATATTTTATGTATTTTTTACTTTTATATACTATTTAAGAGTACTTTTTTGTGTTATATAGAAATATAAACAATATAAAGACTAAACAGTGTACGGTAATATAAACATTTATAGTTCGGATTTGCGTAGGCAATTTGAAGGGAAATAATTAGTATTTTTGTGAAAATGTAGTGAAATAAAATTTGTAATGTTTATATCTAAAAGCGAATATTTTAATATCATCTGTCTGTAAGAGTAGTGGCATTCTGACTGTTGGCGCACGCGTGTGCATGCCTATTAAACGCACTGCATTGCGCTAATCAAGTGTTGGAGAACTTATGTTAAACAAAAGAAAATTGTTATAAAAGTTGTTATAATTAAACACAAATCTATGTTCGTAAGACAGCTGTCATAAATGATTGGTTTAAACCAAAATGTTTAATTGAACTACAGTATACGTCATTTGTTTAAGTATAGACTTTATTTGGGTTTTGGTTTCCACAGGCTTACATCCAAGAGGGGCCTATTTATGATAACGAATAATTCAGGACCTATACCTGACTATACAGTCGTGTGAAATTGAGCTCTTAATTTTTTATTCTTCGAATAAGCGTTCGTTTCAGCACACAGCAGTCTGAAACGGATACGTTCCCAAACTATGTTTGTTCTATTCACTGGTATTGTGCTCAATGACAAAAGAGCCAATACAGCTGTTAAACTATTACCGCTAAACGCGGGCAGATGGCCGTCCATTACCTCACACTTTGTGCTTTAAAATACAGTAACAATAGTGATAATGATATTAGGCTATGCATTAATGCCGGCTCGAAAGAATATACAACGATATGTAATATGTTTATGGTTCGCCCTATAGACTCATGAATTCCTGATTTCTAAAATAAACTGGACGTAGTTTTATATAATTGTCCTAAATACATTTCATACAGTTATGATAAGGAGCTTTCGTTGATGAATTATATGTTTGATACGATTTATAACATCATGATCCTATATATTTGAGTACCGGTACTGTATTGTCAACAATTTGATTTATTCAACATTTAGGACTATACACAGATATATGGCGCAAAAGTTATTAACCAGCGAGTACCGTCATTTCGACAATGAGTGCATTTTTCTGTTAATAACGAAAATGTGTACCAAATCACTGGACTTCTTATACAACGTTCGTTCTTGTTAGGTGAGAAAGCAATTTAAAGACTATTAATCGATGAGTATTGAAGAATACATAAATAAAAATAAATGTTGAATTTAAATTGATGAAATCGAATAATTTTACAGAGGCTATGAGCCTCAGTATGTTGAGTGTATCGAAACATCTTTTCTTTCCAGTGATGTTCTTGACCTGCTTGTTCTTCACCTGATTGAATTATGAATTATGCATCGTGGTACATTCCAACAAAAATGTTCATTCCAGTGTACAAGCATGACAATTAAACCAGTCAGTACCTCTTTGATTAACCTAACGAAATTACATTACTGACCAATGGGTGTTTCATGGTGAAAAAATGGGATGCATTAATTATAAATTCGATCTTCGCTAATAATATTTTGTTTAGTTTTAGTCCTATATATATTAAGGTTTTAAAGTTTATATCGGATAATACATCAAATGCGGCAAACTACTGGGATCTATTTCCACATTTTGATCACTTGTTTGAAAGTTACTATCTATTATTTTTCTATTATTCCAATTATAGTTGATAAATAATTATTACAATAGCCTAAGTATTAAATCAGGATTAAATACGCCATGCTCATGTTTACGCACGTGAAAATTGGTACATGGGTACATTAATCCGCGTGCAAGATTTTTTTTTTCAAACAAAGGCAAATGTTGGAAAGCATGACATATTATAAGGGATATAAAGCATATCAACGATACATCCTTTATAGGCCTAAGCCTGTATCATTATAAAAACATTACAAATATAAAAATTACGTTGAATTTCAATTAGGCCTACGATTATACGTTATCGAAGTCAATCGAACGCACATTTTTACACCGAATGACGGAATTTCATGTTAACTCGTAATCGGAATCTCTAAAGTAAGAGCGCTCGGACTATACGTTTACAGTACTAAACTTATGGAAAATGGCCATTCGAGATGCTCGGACTATAAGAATTCTAATATTAGACCTACCATGAGTTTTATTTGCTATAAGAATACGTGGCCTACCATAAAATTTAATGTCTAGGGCTAATACTAAGTGGTCATCAACTTGTCATTTTCACGAGAAAATAAGAAAATAATCTCAAAATAATAATCATCATTTTATTTAGGGAGAGAATGTCACAGAAGTTTGTTTCTCCCTTAAAAAGCTAGAAAATTGATGAAAGACGTAAATATCATTCGCCAAAGCACGTATTCGAATGTTTTTTTCTTACAAATTCGAGCTGTAGTAATTAATTTTGTATAAACTCTATGATTGCAAAAAGATCAAAATGTGCACTACAAGTTTAACTTGATTTTCATCCCATTTAAAGACTCTTCGGTCCCTGTGACGTCAGCTCCTCTCTGCATAACGTTGAATTTTTACATCTCTAAGCTAAATTCTAAGAGGATGGATATCGGATCAAGGAGCGGAAAATTCACTCGGCGAAATCTGTGACACCTTCATTACAGTTCTATGGCACGGTCTCGTATTCTCTGCATAAACAGTGGCTTTGTAATAACTAGGTAAATGCATATTTTTTCTAAGCTTTCTGTAAGGTGTTTGGCGATTTTCATTCCCTTTCTAGCAACAAACACCTCTCAACCTCAATTGTCCTCAATTAGGACTCGCTTTATTGCATTAACATGTTAGCTGCATATGATATGTAAGGCACACTACGTTGATATTATAAAAGAGAATTTGAAGACCTTAAAACAAATTTGTTGTGATAATCCAGGATATGTTCATACTATGGGATGTTAAGTTGTGCGACCATCAGCACCTCGTTATTGGTACTCAGACTGACGCAACTTAATGTGCGTTATAAGCATGTAAACCAGTTGATTGACTTAACCTTTATCATCACAACATCCGACAATTTTCTTATTGTGGTCATCTGTTACTGACAGTTTCATGCTGCAGTCGTGATTTTTAGTCTTTTGAATTATGCCATGCAGGCCTTCTGAACCCTTGTAGAGAATATATTTTATATTCTCGATTACTACGGTACGTGTGACGTTCCCGGACATTTGTACTGTCCTTTAAGGCGCAACCTAGAAAAAAGTACCATAATAATATTATCGAACGATTATCTATAATGCATCCCGATAAAATATTTTGAAACTTCGCACATCTCTTCGTGTATACACGCAAAAATCTATAATTTTAATTTTACATTATATTTGATTTTTATAGGAAAAATGTGCAGTAGGCCTATTATATGTTCGTTGGATCGAACTCCACCGAACTCGCAATTTTCAGTGGATTAGATAACCATTTCATAATGTTAAACCAATTCGTTATAGGCCTGTTTTCCTAACTTGTATGTCATATTTTCATCAGCAGTCACCGACAACCGGTAGTCCATTCTCAATGTGCCATTTACTGAGTGAATTTTTGTGATTTTGGCATTAGATTTTGGCATTTAATGTAGATTTATATTAAAAATATAGCTTATTTGATTTACCTCAGGTAAAGTTTCAAGGGCAGAATAAAAATTATTATGTTCTCTGGTACCGTGGATGAGTTTACGATTGATGTCACGACTCTGGAGGTTCTTCAATACTCGATCGCCCTCAACGCATAAAAATACGGCACTTCAATGCTAATGTCGAACAAAATATTATTATCTAGTACTGCCCGCATTGCCTAAGCATCCACTGGAAGGAATCCCAATATCTGCAGACGGATCCGTATATA